GAACTCGTACATGCACAAGCTGCTGGTGCTGGACGCGCGCTGAGCGCCCGCGGGCATGTTAATAAAGACCCTGCCGTGCGCCAGGACTCCGCCTCCTTCCTGCGCTCGTGTGTGCGTGTGCGTGTGCGTGTGTGTGTGTGTGTGCGTGTGTGTAAGGTAGGGGTGGGGGGTGTTAGCGGGCCCAGCACCGCTTACACTGGCACCTCACCCCTCAGTCCCCTCCATTCTGCACAGCCCCACCTCTCCATCTCTGCTCTACCCTCTCATTCCGAGCCTCTGTTCCTCCCACCCCTGAGGCTCTGTTCTCCTCTCTGCGTCTCCGTCGCTCTCTAGGTGTCTGTCCTCCCTTCTCTGAGTCTTCGTACTTCTCTTTCACCCTGGGAATCTCTATCTCCTCTCTCTTCTTGCTGCCCCTAAAACTCTTCCTTCCATTCTTCACTTTTTTCTCTCTGCCTGACTCCTTCGTGTCTTCCTACTTTTCTTCCTTTGGGACCCTGTCCCTTTCTTCCCGCTCTCACTAGTCTCTAAATTTCGCCGTTCCCGCTCTCTTATCCCGACTTCTTTGGGCGCAGTGGTGCGATCAGGGACTCTGATGTGAGCTGCACCTGCCGTGAAGACCAGGCTCCCCAGACGTGTGGTATTGGAAAGGGCTAACCTCGGAGTATCCTTTTCCTCATCTGAGGATTAATCGGATACACTGAGGACTTCCGAACTGCGCCGCGCACGAAGCGAACGTTACTAGAAAAGGGTTTCCCCCTCTCTCCAAGCATCTCCAGCAGCTTCTCCAGGGTTTCCTGTGTCCCGGGGAGACCGTCAGAGCGACAGGTTGGGGCGGAAAAGAGGAGAGAGAACCAGTCATCAGGCTCCCCGAGTCAGGGGCGGGGGCGGGGAGACACCTGGGCTGCCAGGGAAGCGAGACAGCAGCCAATCAGAACCTGCCATCCTGGAGTCTCGGCCAGCCCTCCAGCCCCGCCCCTCGAGGTGACTGACAACCTCCTCCTACGTGGCCCCGGCGCAGCTCGCGCGGACCGCACTGTGATTGGTCTGCTAGCGAAGGGGTGAAGCTGGGCGTGGCCGTTAACCGAAGGGGGCGGGGCGGACTCTTGGTTATTGGCAAGCTCTCCCATAATTTGCACCGCGCTGTAATTGCCCTTTGGGCCATGAGGTGGGTCTGTTTCTGCGTAGTTGAAATACTGAATAACTGTAATCTTCAAAATCATCCAGTTAGCCAAATTTTACAAATAAGACTCTGAAAGTCAGGACTAATTTCCCCAAGTTGCCAGCGCTAACGAAGCACAGGATAGCTGGAACCCAAACCTGTGCAACTTCAAAGTCTAAACCTTTCCACTCTGCTGATGGGGAGATGGAGTTACAACCTTACAAGCAGTTACCATATGCCGGGCCCTCTTCTAGACGCTGAGTAGCCTCATTCTGCCCTTCACACACTCTACTTCCTCCCTAGATCTCCACAGCGGATAACACCCAGACCTCCATTTCCAGACGGAGAGCTCAGGGCTCCAGCCACCTCTGGGAACCCTGACCCCCACCCCATTCCATATGAGCTCCTTCTCATGGGCTCCCCATCTTGGGAATGGCTTTATAGTCTACTAGTGGCCTGGTGCACAACATTTGTGCAGAGGGGCGAGGGGAGAATGTCCCTCAGCCCAGCTTGCACCCTCTCCAATCTGGGACCCCTCAGGAGATGTCTGACATCCCTCCCACAATCTGGGACTGCTAGCTCCTAACCACTCACCTGCCTGATCACCCCTAACTACTCTGCACGCCAGCCTTCTCGTCCCCTACTGCCCCCCCCCCCATTGCCAGCCTGCTCAACCCAACTGCCCTCCCCTCCTGGCCTGATCGCCCCTAACCGCCTCTGCCTCGGCCCTGCCACCATGGCTTTGTCTGGAAGGGCATCTGGAAGGTCTCCTGGTCTAATTAGCATATTACCCTTTTATTAGTATAGATTAGCCAGAAGGGTGGGTACTGTCCTTGTCCTTCCCTCTTCCTTCACAGCCTGTCAATCCCTGACTCTGTCCTTCCTGCCCTGCCTCTCTCCACCTTTCTTTCCACCCACACATCAGGTCCAGCTCAGGCCTCCCCAGCCTTCTCCCCAGCTCCTGCCTCAGCCTCACTTCATTACTCATCCCCTATGCAGGCTCGGTCTCTTTCCCACTCCGAGTTAATTTTGTCCCTTCTCTGCTCAAGCCCTTTCATGGGCACTTACGAGTAAAGTTCACGGTGGTGTCTAAAACCCTTCATAGGCTCTTGCCCACCTATCTTAATTTCACCACTCTGTAGCCTTCAATTCCTGGCTTCACATCATTTTCTTTAAACAATTTTTAAAAATATTTTTATTGATTTCAAAGAGGAAGGGTGAGGGAGAGGGATAAAAACATTAGTACTGAGAGAGCATCATTGATTGGCTGCCTCCTGCATGCCCCACTGTGGATTGAGCCCTCAACCCCGGCACGTGCCCGGACCAGGCATTGAACCGTGACCTCCTGGTTCATAGGTTGACGCTCAACCACTGAGCCACACTGGCCGGGCTCTGTTAGTTTTAATCCCAGCAGCACGGTGCTGCCAATGGCTCTCCACACAGGGAGGGGATCTTTCCCACCCCGTTTCCACACATATTTACTTCCTCTGCCTGCAGCATCCTCCTCAGCCCCTGCTCATTGCAGCCAACTTCACCCACCTTTCAAGACTCAACAGATGTCATGGATCTGGGGAGAAACCTCTAGCCTCCAGGCTGAGTCAGGTGATGTCCTCCAGCTGTGACTGGACGATCACTGTGTGTTTGTGGAGAACAAATGGTGCCCGGCCCACTCCCTGGCCGTTAGCATGTAGCGGACGGACATCTGTGGTGTGTGCCCAGCCACATCTCCCTCTTTCTGCCAGGAGAGGCGCTTGGTCTCCTTGCAGCCCGGGGTGATGATGCCAAACAGTCTGGCCAACAGGATATAAACACAGGTCTGCTGCTGGCGCTGGGAAGGCTACTGCTTTTCTGTATAAAAAAGAAGGGCCACATCGCCTTCTCTGCAGAGACGATGTATGAAGCCACAGTGTCCTCCATCCCCTGAGCACGAGAGGGGCTAGGAGGGTCAGACTCAGCGCCCTAGCCGGAGGCTGTGGAGACGGAGCTGTGGGCCTCGACCTGTTCTCCAGGCTCGTTTTGTGAGGACAATAAACCCCTAGCACTTACTCCATTACTGGGCGCGTTTTGCCATTATCAAGAAATGTAGTAAAAACCATCACAAAACCAAGAGACTTCACATAAAGACCCCATTCTGGGGCGTGGATGCTGGAGTTCTGAACTGCATCTGGGGTCGTGATAACAGTGGCACAACAGGAACAACAGTAAAGAGTCCGGGAATTCACCGAACAAGACGTTGCTCTGAGGGGCGGGGAGCATGGCTCACACTGGGGGAGGGCCAAGGTAGCAGAGCTGGAGGTGGGGCCAGGTGGGGGGCGGGGGCTGGCCCAGCAGCAGGACGGAGAGCAGCAGCAGCAGCAGGAGACCCAGGACAGGCGCGGGAATCAGCGGATGCCGCCTGACCCTGGTGGGGTGGCAGGACAGTGCTTAGGGCAGGGCCCAGAGGAGCCTATGTGCCCCGATGACTGACCACCATTTCCTTTTGGTGATACCTTGGGGCTCACCTGAGCTGCTGGGGTTGGGGGTGCAGGGGGCACAGGCAGAAGTGGCTCCAGACTGGCCTCCTAACCGGAACCAGCTTCCTCTCCACAGGCACCAGCGCGTGCTGTAGGTCTGGTTGCGGGGGGCTGCTGGAGAGAGAGGAAGGCAGGGCAGTCACACTGGACACTGTCCCCAAGTTCCCTCCCACTCCCTGGGGGTCCCAGTACCTCTCAGGAGGGCTGCTTGGAATGTCTCCAGGAAGGATGGAGAGATCAGCCTGGAAGGACAAAGGAGATGACAAACTTGGGACATGGGGTCCTGGGCAGAACTTGATCCCATGGAAGGGGGTGGAACACAGTGAATGAATGGCTCTGTGCGTGAACACTGAAATACACTGCCGGGCTGGGGTCCAAGCTCTGCCAGCTCCTGGCCGTGTGTCCTTTGGCACATCACCCGACCTCTCCACACCCCACTTTCCCCACCTGCTGGACAGGGATGACGACAGTGCCCACCTCACAGGCCTAAAGTGGAGACTGACTGAGTGAATTCAGGTTTAAAAAAGTGAGCACGGGGCTCAGAACAGCGCCTGGCAGATGGTGAGTGCTCGATAACTGTGTGAGCTCCTCAACTTGATTATTTCCACTTCCATTGGATTCTGAAGCATCCAGTGGCCATAGAAATACAGGAATAAATAACGAGTAACAGAACACCAGTGCCAGCTACCACCTGCAGCACGGCCACCTACTGTGTGCCTGCTGTGTCAGGCCTGGAGCCAGGCCCTTTCCGACACGATCCTTAACCCTCATCCCCCCGAGAGCCGAGAGCTGGGTGAGGATCATCACACCAGCTTGAGGAAGCGGAGGTGGGACCAGGCTCCACAGAGGGTGTGGCGGGAAGGAGGTGGGCTTTGCGGTCAGGCTGCTCAGAGAGACCGTGTGGGATGGTTGGACCCTGCAGGGTCCAGGTGCCTGGCACACTTGGGGTCTCACACCCTCAGCCGAGGACTGCAGGCTCCTCACTCACGTCACCACATTTCCTTCCCTCCCTCTCCTTGTCTGAGAATGGGATGGTCACCTGCTGCTTGGAAAAGCAAAGGACCCGGCGTGTGTGGTGCTGGGCAGGGGGTGTGAGGCCCGCTGCGGAGGGCCCAGCCCCTTCCTGTGTGTGGGCGCATGTGCGTGTGCATTTTCGCAATCCGGGGGTGTAGCCACGTCTGTGAGGCCGGTGGTGTGACGGCTGCAGCCCTGTGTGTGCTTGTGGGGGGGTCCCCTGGGAACATTCTGGCCGCCCACTGGCCTGTAGGCCACCACCCACAGCACCATCCGCTCTCATTAGCTACAGCGAGGGCCTTGTTATCTCTTGGCCAAATGATTTTTCTGTCTGCTCAGGGGAAGTGAGGTGCGGGCGGGAGCTGGGAGGAGCTGTGATGACATCAGTCTCCTCCAAGGGCCCGGAGTGGATGGGCACTGGGGAGGGTGCGGGGACTGCCTACCGTGACCTGGATCTCCGCTTCCTCCTCTTCCTCTCTTCTGGGCAACCTGGGGCGACAACAATGTCACTGCAAGCTTCTTCCCTCTGCCTGGCTCCCATGTGCTCGTGAGGGGCTCAGGGGAACCTTTAAAGTTGGGGCCTTAAGGAGGATGGACCTGCATCTGTGACCTCAAAAAGGGTGCGAGGGTCTCTATCTCACTGGCTTTCTCAGGGGCTACTTCTCTAGGTGATGTGCCAGCGAGGAGCCGAGGCTGCCAGCTCTCACTCCCAAAGCACCAGAGGCTCGGACCAGGGCCCGAGGAGCCCCTGCCCCTGCTTCCTGCGGGGCTGCACCATTTTCACTGAGCCTCAGTCTCACTGGCTCTTTTTTTCAGGACTCGAACTCCAGAATCCGACTGTGTAGGGCCCACTCCCATCCTAGGCCGTTTCTCTTAGCGGGTATGAGCCCAGCCTCTGCCCCACTGAGGTTCGTAGGTGCCTGAAATGCCTCTTTAGAGGCTCGGGTCTCGAGCTGCCAGCCTGGATAGCCCCTGGAGACCCAGATGCCCACATTCCTAGCCATCACCTTCGCTGGGAACAAGGGATTTGGCCCCCCAGGTTCAGACCCGACACCCTCAGGATACAGTCAGCACCCCAAAAAGCATCCAGCCCCTCTCAAGGTTCAGGCCCTTAACCCTAGCCACTTCCAGGGCCACCGATTTCACTACCTCCCTCACTCCCATCCTCCCGATCTGTGCATCACACCACCCCTGCCCCCCAGCTCAGATGTCCAGCCCCTGCCCCCGCTGCTACTTAGCCCCTCCCCTTCTTCCTTTCATTTCTCGGTGACTGAGGGGAGGTCACATCTCTGGAGCCCCCATCCCTCCCAACCTCAGCTTTCCCAGACAGTCCAATTAGAGCCCATGGCAGGCAGCCTCATTAGTTGCTACAGCCAGGAGCTGAAAGAGGGGTGGGGGAGAGGGTGGCACCACAGGAAACCACAGGCCCCCAGGACAGGGCCCCAAGGAGGGTTCCTGCAGGCATCTAGTGCTGTTTCTAGCCTCAAAGGCCTGCACACAAGCCTCATAACAACCACAGGTCCACGGCACCATGCCAAAGGCACCGACACATCCTCTATCACAAAAGGACTGAGCTGGGATTTGAACTCCAGGTGTCTGACCCCAGAGCCCTCATGATTGCGTGACTGCCTGGGTGCTCCCCAGGGGCCCAATCTGGGTCTCATTTATCCCAGGTTCCCTAGAGGCCTTGGAGAGGTGTGTTCAGTGAGAGTGACCGGGTGACTGAGCTGCTCATCTCCCTGACAATTATCTTCTTTTATTAAGAGTCTCCTATACGAATACCACTCTTACAAGACCCCATTCAGGCATCGCCTCCCTCTCCCTTGGGCGGGGTCAGGTGCCGGATGTCCTCCTGGGACTCTGTGGGCCAGGGCTATCTCCCCGAGGCCGGGAGTCACTGAGGGCAAGGCTGGATCTGACTCATGCTGGTCCACAGGCCCAGGGTCGCCTCAGCATGTGAGTGAGTGAATGAATGAATGAATGAATGAGTGAGTGATGAGGCTCCAGCAGGGCTCTTAGAGTTCTTCTATTCCCTCTGTCTGAGAATCAGGAGGTGGCACCCCAAGGCAGAGGATGGGTTTGGGAGGAGCAGGCTTCTTACCACATTAACTGCTCCTTCCTTCCTTCATGCGGGTACGCCGCCTCTCCCTGGAAGTTCCTCTGTGGGGGGAAAAAAGGTTAGATCTCCGGGCTACCACCTCAAGCATTCACCATCTTCTTAAAAAACCTGCCTTCCTCCTGGGCCTCCTCGAGGACAGCTCTACCCCCCCTCACTGACCCCCGCCCCAGAAGCAGAAACTGGAGCAGTTCTAGGCCACATCAAGTCCCTTTCTTCGTCAGGACCCAGTTCAGGTCCCCCAAACTTCTCACCTGGGCCCCAAAGGGGCTCAGTGGTCCCCTTTCAAACTCCATTCTCCTCCCAGGGTCTTGGTCATCTGTTCTCCCTCAGGACCAAGGTCCCTCTCTGTTTTTTCCAGACATCTTATCCTACGACTTCAATCAACTTGACACTGTTTTCTAAATGCATCCCTGAGCCAGGCCGGTGTGGCTCAGTGGTTGAGTGTCGGCCTATGAACCAGGAAGTCAGTTTGATTCCCTGTCAGGGCACACACCTGGGTTGTGGGCTGGATCCCCAGTAGGGCGCCTGCAGGAGGCAGCCAATCAATGATTCTCTCATCATTGACGTTCCTATCTCTCCCTCTCTCCCTCCCCCCCTTCCTCTCTGAAATCAATAAAAATATATTTTAAAAAATTACTTTAGCCCTAGCTAGTTTTGCTCAGTGGATAGAGCACGGGCCTACAGACCAAAGGGTCCCGGATTTGATTCAAGGGCACATACCTTGGTTGCAGGCTCTTCCCCGGCCCAGGCCCTGTTTAGGGATCGTGTAGGAGGAAACCAATCAATGTGTTTCTCTCACATCAATGTTTCTCTCATGTCTTTCCCTCTCTCTTCCACTCTCCCAAAAAATCAATGGAAAAATATCCTTGGGTGAGGATTAAACCAAAAAAAAAATTAAAAAAATTTTTTTTTCCTGGTTGCCCTGGCCAGGTAGCTCAGCTGCTTAGAGTGTTGTTCTGCTATACCAAGGTTGCGAGTTCAATCCCTGATCAGGGCAGATATAAGAAGCAGCAACCAATAAATGCATAAATAAATGGAACAACAAATCTATGTTTCTCTAAAATAAATAAGTAAATTTCTTCTGGCACTAATAGATTAAAATGGCACTTCTTAGTGTGGACATTAAAGATGAGTTCTCTCGCCCTAGTCAGTATGGCTCAATGGATAGAGCAATGGCCTGTGGACTGATGGTCCCAGGTTAGATTCCCAGGGGCATGTCTCAGCTGCAGGCTCAATCCCTGGCCCTGGTCGGGGTGTGTGCAGGAGGCAGCCGGTCGATGTGTCTCTCTCACATTGATGTTTCTCTTTCTCTGTCCCTTCCCCTCCCTTCTACTCTCTCTAAAAGTCAATGGAGCCCTAGCCGGTTTGGCTCAGTGGATAGAGCATTGGTCTGCAGACTGAAGGGTCCCAGGTTCAATTCCCGCCAAGGGCACATGCCCGGGTTGTGGGCTGGATCCCCATTAGGGTGCGTGCAGGAGGCAGCCCATCAATGATCCTCTCTCATCATTGATGTTTCTGGCCCCTTATGGATCTGTCTCTCTCTTCCTCTCCCTTCCTCTCTGAAATCAATAAGGAAATATGTTTTTTAAAAAATCAATGGAAAAATATCCTTGGATGAGGATTTAAAAAAAAAAAGATGAGTTGCCTCAGTTATTTAAAGTTATGTAATATTATTGTTCAGGTTATTACAAAATTCATAAAACAATGGCTCCTTTTTATTTGTTAATCCTTATCTGAGGATATTTTTTTCTATTGATTTTTAGAGAGAGTGGAAGAAAGGGAGGGGAGAGGGACAGAGAGAGAGAGAGAAAAAAATATCCATGTGAGGGAGACACATCGACTGGTTGCCTCCTGCAGGCACCCCAAATGGGGCTGGGGATAAAGCCCGAAGGTATGTGTCCTTGATGGGGAAGTGAACCCAGGACCAAAGGTCTGTGGGCCAATGCTCTAACCACTGAACGCCACCAGCCAGGGCAACAATGGCTATTGCTGAGTTCAAGATTTCACAGTGGATTTGCTAAGGTAAATGCTTAATGTATCTTTACAGGGTCAAGAGGAACCGTTCACTTCCCACTGTAGTACTGTTCTATTTCTTTATTTTATCTTATTTTTTAAGGATATAGTAACTTAATTAGAAAATTTTTTCAATTACAGTTTATTTTCAATTACAGTTTACTTTCAATATTATTTTGTATTGGTTTCAGGGGTACAGCATAGTGGTTAGATACTCATGTACTTTAGAGTGTCCCCCCTATATTTCCAATACCCACCTGGCCCCATACAGTTTTTAGAATATTATTGACTATATTCCCTATGCTGAACTTTACATCTCCTTGACTGTTTTGTAAATGTATGTACTATTTTTTTAATTTTTAAAATTTTTGTTTTAATCCTTACCTGAAGATATGTTTTTTATTGATTTGAGAGAGAGAGGGAGGGAGAGGGAGGGAAGCAGAGGTGGGGGCGGGTAAAGAGAAAGGAAATATTGATGTGAGAAACATTGATTGGTTGCCTCTCATATGCACCTGCAACCTGTGCATGTGCCCAGACTGGGAATTGAACCTGAGACCCTTCAGTGTATCGGATGATGTTCCTAACACCTGAGCCACACCGGCCAGGGTGTAGTACCATTTCAAATAAGGTGATTTCTTCTTTTTTAAAAATATATTTTATTGATTTTTTACAGAGAGGAAGGGAGAAGGATAGAGAGTTAGAAACATTGATGAGAGAGGAACATTGATCAGCTGCCTCCTGCACACCCCCCACCGGGGATGTGCCCGCAACCAAGGTACATGCCCTTGACTGGAATCGAACCCGGGACCCTTCAGTCCGCAGGCCGACGCTCTATCCACTGAGCCAAACCGGTCAGGGCAATAAGGTGAATTCTGACAGTGTTTTCTAAACAACCATCACATCACAAAGGAATCTGTGATGGCTTTCTTCATTTTTGCCTGCCGCACTAGCAGGCCAGTCCCTAAGGGGCAGGAATGGTGTCCTGTCTGGCTTGGGTCCTGTGTCCCTCAGGAACAACTGCCTAGTGAATGGGAGCAGGGCAGGTACATGGGGTCCCAGGCCCTTTCCCCAGTTCTGGACTCCACTGGTCTCACGGCCCCTCCCGTGCTCACCTGTCCCTCAGCTGCGGCTTCAGGCACAAACTCGGCTTCAGCGTCGTCGCTCTCACTGCTGCCCTCCTCCCACTGCCACACCCCGCACAGAGGGCTGGAGAGAGTGGTGGCTGCCTCTTCTTGTTTCTGGGAAAGTTGTTTCTGAGGTCAGGAAGGGCCAAGCAAAGGCACAATGCAGGTCAGAGATGGGGATGGAGATGGGCTGAGGTGTGTGTGTGTTGGGGGGTGGGAGGTGGAAGAAGCTGAGATGAGGCTGGGCTGGGGAGGGTGGGAGCAGGACCCAGGATGAGTTTGGTGCCAGGACCAAGAATTGTATAAGGAGAGGTGAGGACAGACGGTCCTGAGGAGAAACGGGTTAGGGTGAGTCAGGGCTGGGTCAGTTTCAGCTCAAGGTGGGTTGGGTGTTCCCAGGGGTGCCAGACCCACCTGCTGAATGGCCTGGATCTCCATGCCCAGTGATGGGGGCAGCAGCTTGGTCCAGTCCGCTCTTCTCGCCTGAGCCGCTTTGGATAGCCTGGCCACACAGTCAGGAGGGGGGCGGCCTCTGTGCCTGCCCACCACCTATCGGTCGCCTGTGCTGGGGTTGCCACCCTGCCCACCGAGGGGCTGGAGGCTGAGGTCCCTGCCCTTGGGCTCTCCTCCTGCCTCCTCCACCCCTCATGTTCCACTCACTCATCTGGCCCCTTATGGATCTGACTCAGCTGCTCCTCCAGGTGTGAGATTTCCAACCTCAGTTCCTGCGAAGGAGGGAGGGAGGGACACCTGGTTTTCCATTCTTCCCCACCCCCACCCCAGGCTCCTCTTCCAAGGTCACGTCTACTCCCCTGACTTCTTTGGGTTCCTCAAGACACATATTGCCAAGGACACGGGAAGAAAGCAGTGACAAACTAAGAGGCTGAGGAGAGACAGCGCAGCAGGAACCCAGAAGGTAACCTGCCAGCCAGGAAAACCAAGCAGAGGAAGGCGGAGACAGAGACACGTGGAAAAGGCTTCGAAGAGAGGCAGAGACACAGGAGGTGTAAGACCAGGGACAGAGAGAGGAGTCACCCTGGGGGGCAGACTAGATCCAGAGAGGGGCTGCGCAAGGACCTAAATACGCCCGCCAGGCAGACACACAGAGAGATAAGGAGGGGAGATGTGGTGAGAAGACACCCACAGAGAATAAAAGTGAACGGAAAACAAAGATACAGAGAGAAATGAAAGAGAAAAAGCGAAAAGGCAGAGAGAGGGGAAGAGAGAGGGACATACATCAGACAGTGGAGATGGAAGTGAGAGGAGAAGACTTGAGACGGTGACAGAGACAGAAAGAGGCAGTGAATCTCGGAGATGGCAGAAGGGGGAGAGCCAGGCCGAGCAGGGGGCTGCCAAGGGCGGCGAGGGAGCCTGGGTTACCTGGGTTGTTGTCCTGTACTCCTCCAAGGTCTTGGCCAGACTCTCGGCGTGGCACGTGCGCTGGGGAAGCCCAAAGCCAATGAGACTGGGCCCAACCTCATTCAGACACTGAGGCTGAGTGGAGGTGGGTGAGCATGGGGGAGGGCAGGGTGAGCTTGGGGGAAGGGCTAGGGCCCGAGGGACAGCACTGGGTTTGGAAAACAATAGAAAATTTTAGATTTAAACGTAAAAGCCATATGCAGATGTAGGATAAAGATTTGGGGGGCTCGTGCGGAGATCCTTAGGGCTGGGGAAGGGTTTAGGACAGTGATGGCGAACCTTTAGAGCTCGGCGTGCCAGCATTTTGAAAATCCCTAACTTAACTCTGGTGCCGTGTCACATATAGAAAATTTTTGATATTTGCAACCATAGTAAAACAAAGACTGATATTTTTGATATTTATTTTATATACTTAAATGCCATTTAACAAAGAAAAATCAACCAAAAAAATGAGTTTGCGTGTCACCTCTGACACACGTGTCATAGGTTCGCCATCACTGGTTTAGGAGAACTGAAGTAGAAAGCAATAAAGAGAACATAGGCCCTGAGGCAGGCAAGAATGGATGCACTTGGACCACTGGGACATCTGGGAATCTGAGAGGCATTTCCCAGCTCAGCTGCAGAACCACAAGGCGAGATCCCTCAGGGTCGTGCTTGTGACCTCAGTGGAACCCTGTGACCCCGCTGGGTCGTTTGCTTATCCCAGGGTTAGAGCCAGGCAGGCCTCCCTTTGCTGACTCAGGGCAGGAGATGGGCAGGTGCACATGGAAGCAAATGTCACCCAGCCCCTTACCTCGGAGAGGTCGGTGTCCCGCTGGCAAATGAGGCGTTCACACTCATAGAGCTGCCGCTGCCAAGGAAGGAGTCTGTCCATCTGTCCTGCCCACTCCCGAACCCCTCTGCTCAACCTCCCTCCAGGGATCTGGACATCAGCTACATGGACAGGGATTTCAGCCAAGTTGCCTGGCAGCCCTGGGAACCTGATGGCTTGATGGAAGTTCCCAGCTGTCACCAGGCCTCGGTGGCTGAGACCGGAGATGGTAAATATGGCCCTGGGGGTGGTGGGAAGTTGTCAAGGTACTAGGGAGGGGCAGCACCTTCAAAGCATCCTTCTCCATGGCCAGCTCCTCAGTCCTCCTCTTCACTCCATCCCGCTCTGCCAGTAGCTTTCCATTCTGGAAGGAGGAATGGCTGGTTATGTTCACGTCAGCAAATGGCGATGCTAATACCCACAGTTGACATTTGCTGACACGTGATGTGCATCACGCTTCAGGCTAAGCACTTTATGTTTTAGCCCATGAAACCCCTCCGACCAGCATATGGAATTTCAGCTTTGATTTCTCTGTGCATCAGTCCATCCCCCATCCATAAAAATGAAGATTAGAGCCTACTTCATGGGGCTGCTGTGAGGACTAAATCATACTTGGTAACATTTACTGAGCACCTGGCAGTAAATGAGTAAAAAAACCTCATTTCTTATCCCCTATGTTAAAGAGAAAAGCAAGTCAGCTCTGGTGGGGTAGCTTAATTTGTTAGAGTGTCATCCCCATATGCTGAGATTGTGGGTTCCATCCCTGGTCAGGGCACATACAAGAAGCAACCACTGAAATGAATGCGCAAGTAAGTGGAATAACAACCTGATGTTTCTCTCTCTCTAAAAATCAATTAAAAAACAAACAAAAAAGCAACTCAGACACATAAAGGTTGAGTGACTTCCCCAGGTCTACAGATGGTAATTAATGCAAATACATGTTAATAGCACAAAGCATTTAGAACAGTGGTCCTCAACCTTCCTAATGCCGCGACCCTTTAATACAGTTCCTCATGTTGTGGTGACCCCCAACCGTAAAATTATTTTCGCCTTACTTCATAACTGTAATTTTGCTACTGTTATGGATCGTAATGTAAATATCTGATATGCAGGATGTATTTTCATTGTTACAAATTGAACATAATTAAAGCATAGTGATTAATCACAAAAACAGTATGTAATTATATATGTGTTTTCCGATGGTCTTAGGCGACCCCTGTGAAAGGGTCATTTGACCCCGAAAGGGGTCGCTACCCAAAGGTTAAGAACCACTGATTTAGAACAATGCCTGATCTATATCAAGTATTTGGTAAATGTTATATTCAGAATATTTTTATGTGGAATCTAAATTAAACAATGTAAGTGAACAAACAAAACAGAAACAGATTTATAGTTACAGAGAACAGACTGATGGTTCAGAACAGAAGGGAGGGGGGTTTAGGGAACTGGGTGAAAAAGGTGAAGGGATTAGGTACAGATCGGTAGTTACAAAATAGTTATGGGAACGTAAGGTATGGCATAGGAAATATAGTCAATAATATTGTGATAATTATAAATGGTGCCAAGTAGGTACTGAAAATATCAGGGAACCACTTTATAAAGCATATGATTGTCTAACCACTATGTATATACCTGAAATTAATACAAAATAATATTGAATGTAAACTGTAATTGAAAAAATGTTTACAAATTTTTAAACTTTGGATTATGAATTTTTAACACATACAAAAGTAAAACTAACAGTGTAATGAAACCCTTTACCAATCACCCAGCTTCAATAACTATATAGTTTCCCAGTTTGTTTCTTCTCTATCATGCAGGTTGTTTGTTTTGTTTGGGGTTTAACCAGATTATTTTAAAGCAAATCCCAGGCATCATATTATTTCACGTTTAACTACTCCAGCATTTTAATCTCCTACTTAAGGACTCTACCTTTAGCAAAACCACAATACCTACCATTATCACCTTTAACAAAATTAATAATTCCTTAGTACCATCTCACACCCAAGTTGTGCTCTTTTTAAATTTTTTTTTCTCTCAAATGTTTCATTTATTTTGCTTGAATGAGGATCCACAGGCTTTTGGTCGAAATGTCTCAATTCTTTTTAACTGAGTGGTCCCCCACTTTCCAATCCTGGCATTTTTGGGGTCCTTCTTTTGTGGAAGAAACCAGGTTGTCCTGTGGAAACTGTGCACTTGGTTTATGTGTTCTCCTTCTCCATGTCCCCGCATCTTCATTATTTCCTGTAAACTGGTGGGTAGGTCCAGGGCCTGGCCCAGACCTTGTTTTGACTTTTCGGCAGGCAGATTTCAGGGGTGTTGCGATGCAGGTCATGTGCCCTTCAGGAAGAATGTAATGTCTGGCTGTCCTAACATAGTTTTAACTGCCATCATCCCCAATTTTAGAGAGGAAATTGAGGATCGGAGCGGTTAAAAAACTTGGCCAAGGTCACATGGTAAGTGAACTCAAACTCAAATCTGACTCCAAATTCTGTGCTTATAACCTGTCTCTCTTCTGAGCCAGATGAAGCCTTGGGTGACAATGGGGAACCAGCTGCATCTCTCGTCCCAAGTTCATTACTAGAGGTGGAGACCAGCGCAGAAGCTGATGATAACGTGAGGTGGACTCTGATGAGGACTAGGGCCTGGGCCTGCTGGGAGCCCTGATGAGGAGCTTCCTGAGGAGGCAGTGCTGGGGCAGAATCCTCAAGGGTGAAGGGGTGGGGGGAGGGGGCAGGGGAAGGGGACAAGTGGGCCAGGAGAAGCCAGTGGGCAGGGCTAGCTATGAAATAGGACTGAGAATGAAATGCCCCAAATTCCATTCTAGAGTTTCTGGGCACCAAAAACCTAGCAAGTTGCACTGAGTTTTGATGAGGCATCATGGGGAGAGCATTTCTGGGCATGGAGGCAGCTGATTTCCCTTGCCACATCCCTCATCCTGGTGCCCCTGAGGATACCAAGGCCAGTTCCTCCTCCTCTCCAGCCCGGCTTCCCTGCAAGTCCTCCATTAGCTGCCCTCCTCCCTCGCAGTCCCAGCTGGCCTGGATGCCAGGTGAAGGGCGGAGGAAGGACGGAGGGGCCAGGAATGCTGCGTCAACATCTGTTCACCTGGTCGGGACTTGCAGGCTGGATCCTAGGCTACTCGGCAGGGAACCTGGTTACTCAGCCGCTCCTGCCTTCTCCTGCAGTAACCTGAGCCTGCTCCATAGGTTCTCCTAGGGAAAGCTGAGTGTCCCTTACTCCAGCATTATTCTACTGTAACTTGAGAACTCGATCTATAGATGCTCTGTAGGCAGCAGCCAGTGGGGAGAAAGGTGGAGGGGAGGGATCCAAGAATAGCTCCAGTTATCGAGCGCCTAAGATGTCCCAGGCGCAGCTCAAGGCACTTGATCTGGCAACAGGCCTTCTGGGCTGGGAGGAGCAGAGACTGCTGGCTGCCATTCACCCTGCTTATTCCTTCTTCTGCTTTCATTGAGGTCCTCTCCCTACGTGGGCAGGTGGGTCCCCAGCCTTAGCCCTGGAGGTGAATCAGGATGGGAATCTTGGCAGATTCGGGAGTTGGGGAGGTTAGGTGACCCAGCAGCCATTGTCCCCCTCCAGAGGCTGAAGATATTCTCCCGGCCTCCCTGGCAGCTGTGGTGGTGGTGGTGGTGGTGGTGGTGGTGCGGTTACTCCTGGGAAAGCTTTCCCTTCTGATGAAAAGAGAGCCATGAGAGGAGCATTTGCTGAGCCCCCTTGCCCCTCCTTGTCCTGCTCTGAATGAGAACATGAAGTTGGGAGCTGTTACAGCCCCCTGCGATCACAAGGCCACAGACAGAAAAACAAGCCAAAGAGCTGCCAAAGCAAACCAGACATCTTCCAAAGCGCTTGTTAATCAGGATTCCCGGCCCATCAGGGGCTGTGCTATCCCAGGAGTGGCTGGGCTATTATCATTTGCCACTTTGCTCAAAGACGGAGGTTCTGCCAGAGGCTTTAGGGAAAGCCCCTGGTTTTTAAAAAGAGAATTTCTAGAAGAAACAGTTACATCCTCTCTGTATCCCATGCCTCACACTGTGGCAGCCATTTTGCAGCGAGTTCCCATAGCCTCAAAGGAGGGATTTTCATGGAAGGGCCAGAAAACAATACTAGAAACATTTTTAGATTTAAATGTAACAGCCATATGTAGACATAGGACAAAGATTTGGGGGGAAGGGGTCAGACAGAGTAGGGCTGGGGGAGGGATGCAGGAGAATTGAAGAGAGCAAGAGAGAGAAAATAGGCCATGAGACATCAAAGCTCAGGGTTAGCTGTGTGGGGGGCAAGAATGGATGCACTTGCCCTACCCGGTGTGGCTCAGTGGGTAGAGCGCTGGCCTGCGAACTGAAGGGTCCCTGATTGGATTCCAGTCAAGGGCACGTGCCCGGGTTGCGGGCTCCATCCCCAGTGTGGGGCATGCAGGAGGAAGCCAATTAATGATTCTTTCTCATCATTGATGTTTCTATCTCTCTCTCCCTCTCCCTTCCTCTCTGAAATCAATAAAATATATTAAAAAGGAAAGAATGGATGCACTTGAACCACAAAACCCCTGGGACATGTGGGAATCTGAGAGAGGCGTTTCCCAGCTCAGTCGCAGAAGCAACAAGGCATGTGAATAATGGAATAGAAACAACTGTGCGAGTTGTTGAGGCAGAGAGGGACCAGGGAGGCCCCAATGGCCACAGTCACAGGAAAACAGCTACACCTTCGCTGTGCCCCTAGATGGGTACAGGAGTGGCTGGGCGAGAGCCCCTGTGCCTTTACGGGGCTCCTGCACCACCAGCAGATGCGGCAAAGACTGTATGTCCAGGGATGAGAAGGCCATGCCAGCCTCCCAGTGGATGCCAGCATGCAGTGGTGAGTAAGGCCAAGGACCAGATGGGAGTACGAACATCAATCCTGCCCAGCAGAGAGAACAGATGTTGCGTGAGGACCGCCGCCTCCTGGAGCACAAAGGTTCTGCCTGAGTCTCCAGCAACTTAGATGCCACCTTGTGGGGGGACAGTGACAAGATTCATCATCAAGGGATGAGTTTCAGTTTCCACCTAAAGGGATTCAGCGGTTCTCAACCTGTGGGTCGCGACCATCGGAAAACTCATATAGCATATCAGATATTTACATTACGATTCCTAATAGTAGCAAAATTACAGTTATGAAGTAACAACAAAAATAATTTTATGGTTGTGGGTCACCACAACATGAGGAACTGTATTAAAGGGTCGAAGCATTAGGAAGGTTGAGAACCACTGGATTAGGTAGACTCAAAATGAACTCAGATGATGTTTTCTGTCTCAAATGGAATGTGGCTCGAACCAGACGTGAAGTTGAACTGGGACTGTTCATATTATGTGCTGGGCTCTGGGCTAAAAGCAGTCATTTAATTCCCATAATAACCCTGTGGAACAGATGCCCTTCTCCTCCGTTCTTAGAAAATACTGTAAAACTAAGGACCCGGCTGGATGGCTCCGTTGGTTGGAATGTTGTCCCATACAAGGTGGCAGCTTTGATCCCCGGTTGGGCGTGTATGGGAGGCAACGGATTGATGTTTCTCTCCCCCACCCCACATACCCTTCCTCTCGCTCGCAAATCAAAAAAACCATATCCTCAAGTGAGGATTAAAAAACATATAAGAAAGCTAAGCTTAGGAAGGGGTAGTCACATGCCTAAGGTTGCCTGTCATGTAAGTGGCAGAGATGTGATTTGAACTTGGCTGACTTCAAGGCCTGTGTTCTTTCCACCATAAAAAAACAACTAATATATGAACAACACTAGCTAAACTTTTACTGAGCACTTTCCACACTGTGTCCAAGGCTTTACAAGCATCCCTTGTTCAAATCTTACACAACTCCCTGAGGGAGATTCTATTATTTTGCCCATTTTTTACAGGTGAGGACACTGAGGCACAGAGAGGGGACCCAGGCAGTCCACCACGTTCTCACATGCAGTGATGTCGCGACCTTCAGGGACATCCACACCTTGGGACCCTGGGGTCCCCCGCACCAGACTGAAGGGTGTTTGGTCTGCGGGCTGCTGGGGTGTCTGGGGCACCGGGGGTAGGACCGGGAAGAGGCGGGGCTGGGAGCTGGGCCTTGGCTCACCTCCTCCTGCAGCGTCTCCATTTCAGCCACCAGATGCTGCTGTTCCTTTTCCTGAGAGGACAGAGGCTTCTGTTGGGGCCTCCTTACCCCCACAGTGCCCGCCCCCTCCCCTGGGATCACACTCAGGCCTGGGTCACTGAGGAGCAGGGCTGGGGAGCCCTGCTGGCTCCTGCTGCCCCTGTGTCTTTAGAGGAACGGCAAAGCCTGAAGCAGGACGTGCAGGGATGGAGGAAGCCTGGGTGGCCTCTGCCTCTTCCCCCCCATCGTCAGGCTCTGATGCTCAGACTCCGAGAAAGAGGGAAGGGAGAGGACACCCCTGTGCCCCTTGCCCGGAACCTACTGTCTGCCGGGCCTGGGCCAGGAGACTGCGATTCTGTTCCTCCAGGCTCTTGGCCAGACTCTTCAGGTCCTCCAGCTCCTCATCCACAGCCCTGGCAAGCTGCAGGGCCTGCTGGGTGCTGTGGGGCAGGGATTGTGCGCGTGAGAGAGGAAGACAGACCACAGGAGATCCACTCAGAGGCAGAGCAACAGAGAAACCCCAGACAGAGATAGAGGGGGACCCAGAGAGAAGGGGAAAGAGACTCAGAGAGAAAAAAGGGGGGTGGGGGAGCTGAGCCTGGAGAACAGGACAATTTCTAGCTAAAAAACTAAGGGGGTAGGTCCTCGAGAGTGGGAAACTGAAATAGGGGGACAGGACAGACACGAGGAAGACAGAGCACAGGGAGAGAAATAGGCTGTTAAGAGGGAGATCAGAGAGGGAAGAAGAGAGAGAATCTGAACTTGAGATGCTGAGAGACAAGAACCAGGGAGACAAGAGAGAAAGATAAAAGATAGAAGAAAAGAAGAACGGACGTGCGGGGTCACAGACACGGAGAGAGAGGGAGTGGAGAGCGAGGCTGGGGCACAGGGTGGCGGACGTGGGCCCAGCCCACCTGCGGAGCTGCTTGCGCAGGGCCACGATCTCCTCCCCTAGGCGCGCAGACCCCTCCTCAGCGGTCTCCACGCTGCGCTGCAGTTTGGCGTTCTCCCCAGCCAGCCTGCGGTTACTGAGCTCCAGGTCCTCCAGGCTGCTCAGCAAGTCAGCTGTGCCCAGCCTGGGGGCAGGAAGGGCCGGGGTCACCACCCACAGCCCTGGCCGCCTTTCCCAGGTGACGGTAGGTGGTGAGGGTGGTGGGGAGACAAGCTCTTCTGGACAAAGAGCAGGTGGGAGACTGCCCGGCTCTCCCTGAGCTGTTAGCATAGCCCCTATCCCTCACCCACTCCCAAAGGACCCCAAACCCCAGCCCGGCCCTGGGCAGGCTGGAGGGCATGGGAGGGGAGGGGAGGGGAGAGGGGGCCTGAGGATAGGTACAGCTCAGGTCTGGGGTCTTCGCCTCCAAAGCTCTCCAGGTTGGCTGGCTCCTCTGTGACTGGGCCTCCTGGAGGGAGATAGACAGAGGGTGGTGGGCTCCCCAGTGACTGTAGATATTGGGGCTCCCCAGGACTCTGGGCTTGTTCCTTGTCTGGCTTCCACCCTCAGAGCATTTGCTCTGGGTGATCCCATCTGCTCCCAGGCTGTAACTACACCCAACATCAGAAAAGCCTCTTGTTCATCCGTGAGCTCAGGCTGGATCTCCCAGATAGCCCTGTAATTTCCACGCCCAACACTGGCCCCAAACCTGTTCCTCCTCCCACCCCCCCGCCCCACACTGCCACCTGGATCCCTTGCTCCTGCTACCTCCTCTCTATCCCCACCCCCCACCCTGGCGCAGGCCCTCACCACAACCTCCTCCCCAGCCTCCTCCCCTCCAGCTTCCCCTTCTGTCCTTCCCCCACCCAGAGCTGACCCGCCCCTCCCCTGCTCACAGCCCTCCCTTGGCCCCTAAGCCCAAAGGGAGGAGGTTCAAGGAATGCCAAGTAAATTCTATTTCATTTGCTTTTGTGTTTGTAAGGCTGGAGGAATAGAACACAAACACATGTTTACCAAGCACCTCCTGTGTGCGAGGTCCTAGGGATACAATGGTAAGCAAATCAACTAACCAAGGCAGGGCAAGTAACTAATCAGATTATCAGATTTCCGAGGGAAAGGCATGCAGGTCTGTGAGTGTGTGAGTGGGAGAGCAAGGGACTGTAGCCTGGGGCATCCCGGCTGGATGAGAGGAGAGGTGGGCGGGGCCTGGCGGGACTCTGTAACAGAGCTGGTGTTGGAAGGCTTTGGAAACAACTCACAAAGCTCAAGGAGGGTGGGGAGGCTCCTAGAAGGCCAAACTCACAGCTCCAGGCTAGAGCAAAGGTCCCTGGGGTCCCGCTCTATCTCCTGCTCTGTTGCCGAGTGGGAAGTCCCCCCACTGTCTGACCCTGGGCCAGCCTGCTTCATTCTATATAAAGCATTCTCACCAGATGGCAGCCGCTGGGAGGTCAGGGCTCCCTCGAAGGTAGTCTCCTCTTCCAGCTCTAATCCTCTATATCAAAGGGATGAGGTTTAGAGCCCCCTGCAGCCATCCTCAAACCCAGCAGGGGTTTTTGGGCGGCTGGAGGAGGGGCCAGGTTAGGTGAGTAAGCTCCATGGGGAGGGAGGTGGGGCCAGATGGCTAGCGCCTGGGGCCAGATGGCAAAGCAGGAGGGCAAGGACTGGGATTGGAGAAGGGAGGGTGAGGGGCATCTGTTAACCCATCGCCCCCGGTTTCCTCCTTCCAGCCCCTTTTATGTCTGTTTCCCAGACCCCCTTCACATCCCCTTCCCAGGCACTTTGTCCTCAGACACTCTGCTGCTCCCCGACCCCATCTCTCTACTTTGTCTCTCCTCAGCCTCCTTCCAACCACAGGAGAGCCCTGTGCCCACAGGGTGCTGGCCGCAGTAAGGAAGGATGAGGTTAGAGCTTAGGAAGGACTTCCCAGGTGAGGGTGGAGGTACAGGGACCCACCCATCCAGCTGACAGGCAGTGATCCAGTCTCGCATGACGACCAGGAAGGTGTCCAAGTCCACAGTGGCCTGAGGGCCCTCCCCATTGGGATCCAGGCTGCAGGCCAGTGTTTGGAGGCGTGTGTCCTGGGGGCCCTGTCCTGTCACAGCCTCCAGGTAGGCTAGTACTCGGGTCACAGCCACAGAGCCTGGAGACAGAGCATGCCAGGAGGGAACGGGGGCAGGTGGGGGGGCGTGGGAGTTGGGGAGTTGGGGACATTAGGCCATCGCTGGCTGGTGGCACCCCTGCACCACAGCCCGGCTGGGACAACTTGGGCAAGTCCTTTCCCTCCTCTAAGTCCACGTTTTCACAAGTCATCAGATCCACCTCAGAGGGTGGAGCAAAGAGAATCAGCTAATCCCCCAGTGGCTCCCCTCCCCTCCTTCCTCCCCCAAGCACTGAAGCCCCACCCTCTTCTCTTCATATCCCCCAAGTTTTCTTCCCCTCACTGTCCTTGCCTGAAAGGCCTCCATGCCCGTATCAACTCATTCCTGAAGCTTCCCATAATCACTGTCATACAAGACCCCCATTCCTCTCTCTAAGGCTCCCCAGTTCCAAGGCCCCCATCTCTGCCCCTTATTATTGCTTATCTCCCCGACACCCAGTGCTCCCAGGCCCACCCTGCCCTCCCACCTGTCCTCTGGGGGTCACAAGCTTCGAACATAGAGTTGAGTATTTGATCCTCTAAGCTGAGTGGTGTCTCTAGGCGCCCCTCGTCCGGCTGTTCCCAGAGGTACACTGAGGAGACAAGAGGGCCAGTCCACCCGTGAGGAGAGGAGTGGCCTGGCTCCTGCAGAGGGAAGTTCATTCCCAGCGGCCTGGAGTTTCCGCTGGTGGGGAACAGCAGGAAGCTTCGGGGAGGGGGGGGCAGCAATGTGAGGGTCTTTGAGTCACCTCCGCACCCCTCCATCCTGGGGATGTGGCCCCATCTTTCAGGCCAGGAAGTCCCCCCTGCTGTCTGTTCCTTTGTGTCCAACCCACTCAGAAGCCAGATAAGAATGAGCAATCACCCTTTCCTCCTCTCCTCCCCTGCCTCCCAGGCTGTACTCGGAGGGGCTACAGGAAGGGGAGGGCAAAGAAGAGAGGATTCTGGGAGGAGCCGAGGGTGAAGGAGGGCCCAGAAGCCAGGAACAATCCGATAACATTCTGGCAGCCTGGATCGATTCTGCCTGCTGCATCTCCGGTCCCCTAGCCTGCCTGTGGGCCGGGCCTCTCTCCTCTTACCATGCCCAGTTGAAGCTGGCCGCAGGGGAGCCCAGGGCCAGGAACTCAGAGCCCCGCTGGACTATTGTAGGCAAGTTGCTTCTCTTTTTGGAGCTGTGGTTTCCCAACCAATAAAATGGCAGGGAGGTGGGGTAGAGTGATCCCGCTCCCCAGGACTGGGAGGGTTAGGGGTGTGTGTGTGTGTGTGTGTGTGTGTGTGTGTGTGTGTGAGAAGAGCATGCGCATGCGTGCGCGCACACACACAAAATGCACATCCCAGGGTCTGTTTGTCCACTGCTGTATCCAGTGTTTGCAGAGTAGGCACTCAATAAATATGCCAAGGTATGGGAGGAGATCCTTTACCTCAGGAACCACTGGGCCAGCCCAGCATCTTTCCGAGGGCTGGACGTGACCTTCAGACCCCTGGACTGCTGGGCACAGCACTGGGCTGAGCGCAGGCTACAGGGTCTGGCAGACACATGGACAACCCAGGCCAGGGGCCCGGCTTCTCTGAGCCTCAGTTTCTTCGTCTGGAACATGGGGGTGGCATTCCTTCCCTCTTAGAAAACGGCTGAGGTAAAATCTGGAGAAGCCCTGGCAGAGGGCCTGGCATGTCCCGGAAGCTTAGCATACAAGGTGCTGCATGGCCCCACTTTATAGCTGAGGAGACTGAGGCATAAGAAAGTTCAACGCGAGTGCCCTCTCTCACTCCCCCATTCACAGGTTCTTCGTAGGGAGCTCCAACTCCGCCCCCGCGGGGTGGAGCCCATGCTCCTTGGGAAGGGGAGTGGGCACCCAGTTAGGGGAGACGCCAGGGCCCGTGCCCAGGGCTTTCCCTGCACTGAACCATGTTATGGAGGAGGACCCCGAGGCCCAGGGCCACGTAGCCAGGGAGAGCAACGCAGAGTCAACTCAGGACTGTCTGGTTACAGATCACGTGGGGTCTGAGGATCCGCATGTGTCTACGGCCTCTTCCCAGGGCCCCGCAGGAAGATGTCATTGTGCTTCTCTCCTGTGTTCTTTCATCTCCTTCCTCAGTGTCTCCACCTCTCTGTGTCTCTGTGTCTGCCCTTCTCTAGTTTTCTCTCTTGCTCTTTCTCTCCATCTTCCTTCCCACCTCTCTCCCCATGTCCCTTGCCTCTATTTTCTTCCTTGTGTCTCTGTGCTTCTCTTCCCGTATCTCTGAGACTCTCCGTCCATTCCCCAGCCTTCTCTCTCCTTCCTATGCTGTCTCTCCGTGTCTTTTTCCCCAGAGTCTTCCGCTGTCTCCATCTCCCCTGGGTGTTCCCTCCCTTTCCGTCAGGAGCCTTTCCAAGCTGGCTCAGCCCTGGCCACGGGTTCCTCAGTGGCTGCACGCCCTCTGCTGGTGCCAGAGAAGTTCAGATGCCGGTCACTCCATCAGTAGGCACTGGGGTCTCCCCACCCAGGTGTCTGCTTCCTACCTTCCTACCCAGAAAACCTCCCGAGGCTGCAGTTCAAGCCTGGGGCCCTGAGAAAACACTCAGGTTCTGCTGCTGCTGGACGCTAGGAGCCTCTGGGAAAGGGGCCCTGCCTCTCCCCGAGGGTGGGAGCCTCATCCCCCATCACTCTGGGCTCCCCACTTAGCCAATGAGTTCCAGAGAGGGCAACCACCGGGGAGCGAGCGAGCATCTTGCTCCAGAAGCGGCTTTCCCATGCATGTGGTTTGCATCCAGCCAGTCCTAGGACAGTAACCGAGTTCCTACTATGCGCCAGGCATCGTTCTAGCGCAGCACCCACCGCACGTTGTTTGTAAGCACTTGAACTGTGGCCAGCATAAAAAGAGCACCTTAGGCATAAAAAGTTGCTCTAATAGAGCGACTGAGGTGCTCTATTAGCATAAAGCACACACCAGACCTTGAAGACTTAGCATGGGGGGAAAAAGTATCTCCAATCCATTTTATATTGATTATATGATACTACGATACTATTGTGGATATATAAAGTTAAATAACATCTATTATTGCCATTCATTTGGCCTGTTTCTTTCTTTCTTTCTTTTGAATATGGCTACTAATAAAATTTAAAATTACATATATGCTGCTGGACAATGCTGCTCTAGGAACTGGAAATACCAGAGAGAATAAAACAGAGTCGGCCTGGCAGAGCTCATGCTCTAGTGGTGGGGGGATGGGGAGGGCAGAGAGTAGACAGACAGACAGCGCTATGTCAGTGCTATGAAGAGAGGCAGAGCAGCAAAGAGGAGCGAGTGTGACAGGGCAGGTGCCTCACAGAAAGCAGAGCTCTGAGTGAAGCGAAGGGGAGCCTGCAGTCCCTGGTAAAGGGTGCTCCAGGCAGGGGGCACCGCGCACCACACGCAAAGGCTTCTGCTCTGGCCTCTAGGAGCAAAGGGGACGAGGGGTCCAGACAGGTGGGCACGGGGCAGGTTCCCTCCTTCACACCTTGCACCAACGTGGAGCCTCAAGCCACCTCCCCCAAGACCCCAAGTCACAGTCTGGTGCCCATTCATCCACTTCTCCCTCCTCATCCTCCCGCAGGGTCAGGAGGGACCCAGCCACCTACTTGGAGTAGCGGGGCCACCCGCTGGGCTCTCCGGCAGGTCCATGGGCCGCCCTCGTTGCTCCTCAGCTGCTAGCGAAGCTAACAGCCCCCCTCCATCACAGGGACCGGCTGCTCTGAGAGCTCCTGGAAGGACAAGCAGGGGAATGGCCTCGTCAGACCAGACACCTGAGGGGTGGGGACCTGACCTGCCTCACCTGCCCTCCGGGCCGTTCTGGGTTCTCAGAACCTGTTTGCCCACCCCTGCCTTCATCACAGCGGCTCCCGCTCAGACCTGTTTTATGGATTGGAGGTGTGGGTTGGGCAAAGGGGGGCCTGAAGAGTGGGTGGCAGAGATCAAAGTGGGGCCAGTGGGTGGGGGTCATTGCCTCTTCACCAGCTCTCCTCCCACAGCTTGTCAAGTCCCAGCCCTGCCTTCCTGCCCAATGACTACCTGTCCCCTTCTCACCTTCCCTATGGCCCAGGCTTCGGCCTCGTCTTCTCCCCATGGGCCCTCGCTGCAGCCTCTCCCCTGGCCTCAGCCTCCGGTCCCCCACACCAGTCCACTCCCACAGGGCCCCGAGCTGACCTGCCCCGCCCCTGCTCACTGCTCTCCCATGGCTCCCGAGCAGCCCCTGGACAGAGCCTAGACCAGTGATGGCGAACCTATGACACGCGTGTCAGAGGTGACACGTGAACTCATTTTTTTGGTTGAGTTTTCTTTGTTAAATGGCATTTAAATATATAAAATAAATATCAAAAATATAAGTCTTTGTTTTACTGTGGTTGCAAATACCAAAAAATTCCTATATGTGACACGGCACCAGAGTTAAGTTAGGGTTTTTCAAAATGCTGACACACGGAGCTCAAAAGGTTCGCCATCACTGGCCTCGACCCTGGACTTGGCATCGAAGGCCCTCCATGGCCTGGCCCCAAATCACACTTGCTGCTCCAGCAACTCTGAACTGAGTGCTGTTCCCCAAACCGGGCTTGCTGTTCCCACCTCTGGGACACCCTCCTGGCCAGCCCTCCCACTCTCAGCTCACACGTCCCCTCCTCCTGACCACCTTGGGCTGCCGACATCCTCGCCAGATCAGCCCGTGTTTGGCGTCCCACTCGTTTGGCCCCATCTCCCCTGCTCAGTCCTCCCTGGCTCCCTGGTGCCCTCAGGACCAAGTCCTAGCCCCTCCGGCTGCTATGGCAGGGTGGTCCCTGTAACTCCTGCCTCTTTCTGTTACTCTTCTCCCCACTGGCCCCCCTCCAGGCCCCTCCCCCTCATCACACCCATGGGAGCTTCGCATCTTCCCAGGCCGAGGCCACACTGAGCAGAACTCCCACCTGTGGCCCTGCCCTGGCCCACAGCTCCTGGGGGAGCCTTGCTGAGTCCCTAGAGCAGCTGGGACCCCCTCTCCTGTCCTGCCTACATTAATTATAACCAGCTTGACCATATGACTTCTTATCCCAACTCCAGGACACTGTCAAGAGCGAAAGGGGCCCGGCCTGAGCAGTGGTTGAGCATCGACCTATGAATCAGGTTACGGTTCGATTCCCAGTCACAGCACATGCCAGGTTGTAGGCTCGATTCCCAGTGTGGGGTGTGCAGGAGGCAGCCAATCGATGATTCTCTCTCATCATTGATGTTTCTATCTCTCTCCTTCTCCCTTCGTCTCTGAAAGCAATAAAAAAAAAATTAAAAAATAATAATAATGATTATACTGGATGCCTGGCCGGTGGCTCAATGGTTAGAGCACTGGCCACTGAAGGGTCGCTGGATGGATTCCTGGTCAAGGGACTCTCTCCTCCTTCCTCCCTCCCTTCGGCTCTAAAACGATGGAGAAACGTCCTCGGGTGAGTAACAGCAGCAGCAAGTTACACTGGACAATGGTGCCCACCACACTGAACTGGCACGGGGGCAGATACATGGTCAAAGCAGGGTCTCTCTCCTCCCCACGTGCTCCCCACACCCCGCTTTCCTGGACCTAGGGACTGATGCCACCCGTGTGGGCACACTTCTCAGGGGCTTTGGAATTCCTAGAAAACGTGGTTGAGACCCTTCTAGGGTTTGGGTGACGCTGGAGGGTCCAGCAGGGGGGCAATGGCCCTGGAGCCCGAGTGGGAAAGGGGAACAAGGTGCTGACAGGGTTGGGGGGACAGGGACTGAGAGAGGCTCCGTTCAATCTCGGGGCCTTTGGAGGGGAGGCTAGAGGATCCCCAGGAAGGAGGCTCAGGCAGGACTTCTGGGAATTTTAAGGTCTTGATTTCAGGGTGTCTCTGACTGGAACTCTGGGGGGTCTCTGGATTTCTGGGGTATCTGACTGGATTCCTGGGGTTTCTCTGACTGAATGCCTGGGGTTTCTGACTCGATTTCTGGGGTGTCTTTGACTAGATTTCTGGGGGGTCTCTGACTAGACTTCTGGGGTTTCACTGACTAGATTTCTGGGGGGTCTCTGACTAGACTTCTGGGGTTTCACTGACTAGATTTCTGGGGGGTCTCTGACTAGACTTCTGGGGTTTCACTGACTAGATTTCTGGGGGGTCTCTGACTAGACTTCTGGGGTTTCACTGACTAGATTTCTGGGGGGTCTCTGACTAGACTTCTGGGGTTTCACTGACTAGATTTCTGGGGGGTCTCTGACTAGACTTCTGGGGTTTCACTGACTAGATTTCTGGGGGGTCTCTGACTAGACTTCTGGGGTTTCACTGACTAGATTTCTGGGGTATCTGACTGGATTCCTGGGGTGTCTCTGACTAGATTTCTGGGGTTTCTCTGGATTCCTGGGGGTCTCTGACTGAATTCCTGGGGTTTCTCTGACTGGGTTTCTGGGGTTTCCCTGACTAGGTTTCTGGGGTGTCTCTGACTAGATTTCTGGGGTTTCTCTGACTGGGTTTCTGGGGTTCTTTGACTGAATTCCTAGGGTTTTTCTGACTAGATTTCTGGGGTTTCTCTGACTGGATTTCTGGGGTGTCTCTGACTAGATTTCTGGGGTGTTTCTGACTGGATTCCTGGGGTTTCTCTGACTAGATTTCTGGGGTGTCTCCGACTAGATTTCTGGGGTTTCTCTGACTGAATTCCTGGGGTTTCTGGCTTGATCTCTGGGGTGTCTCTGACTAGACTTCTGGGGTTTCTCTGACTAGATTTCTGGGGTGTCTCTGACTAGATTTCTGGGGTTTCTCTGACTGGGTTTCTGGGGTTCTTAGGTTTCTGGGGTCTCTCTGGGTTTCTGGGGTTTCTCTGACTGGGTTTCTGGGGTTTCTCTGACTGGGTTTCTGGGGTCTCTCTGACTGGAGTTCTAGGGTTTCTCTCACTGGGTTTCTGTGGTGTCTGGATTTCGGGGGATCTTTGGCTGTGTTTCTGGGATATCTCTACATTTCTACTGGGTCTGGACTTCTGGGGTATCTTACTGGGTTTCTGTGGGGTCTCTGACAAGATTTCTGGGGGGTGTCTCTGACTGGATGTCAGAGCTCTCTTATATTTGGGAGAGGAAACTGACAGGATTTTGACAAGATTTCTGGAGTATCTGACAGGATTCGGAGGGTCTCTGGTAGGATTTGGGGAGGCAGAGGAACGGGACTTCGGGGTCTCTGGCAGGGTCTGAGGAAGTCTGACAGAATTTCTAAAATATTCTGACAAGATTTCAGGGTCATCTGTAAGGTTTTCTCGTAGGTTCCTTTCAGTATTTCTGAGGGGATTTGGTCAGGATTTCAGGAAGGCCTTTAACAAGACACGGAAGAGGCCCCGATATTGGGGGCGCTCCCCCAGGACTTGTGGGTTTTGCGAGGATTTCGAGGGGGGCTCTAACAGGGCTACCTCGCACAGCCAGGGCGCACCTGGGGTCACGTCCCACTCCCGGGACACAGGCGAGGGCCACGAAGACGGACGACGGACGACGAACGACGGACGACGGACGACAGACGACAGACGGACGACGACCAGCAGTTGCCCGCGTGGAGGTGCACGTACGCAACTCCCGCCCGAAAAGCAAAAGCTAGCGGGGGGCGGGGCGGGGCGGAGCGCGCATGCGCAGTGTCTATAGCCCGCCACGCTGCGCTCCTCCCCTGACGTAGGCGCACATCAAGGGAAGGCGCGCGCTGGTCGGTTACCTGCTGCCGCGGGGCTGCGCATGCGTAGGGCTGCTCGGGCGCGCGGCCAGCCCTGTGCGGGATTAACGATCGCCCTCAGGCGAAGGGGCAGGAGGCTGCGTCCCCTGCGCTGATGTCTCTCAGCGTCCCCGGGCTTCGGCGAAACAGACCCAAGCAAGGAACGGGGAGTTGGGCTGAGAGTCTCCTTATCCCCACTTATTAGCTCCAAGCCGTGGCCTTTCTGCCCTCCCTCCCCCGACGGCTGCCCGTCGCCATCACAATAACGTCTCAGCTCCTCCTGCGCCTGCGCCCTTTTGTGACTCCAGCCCCAACGCGTGGATAGACCCCGAAGGTCTTTCCCAAAGGGTTCCATTCACTCCTTTTGGGAGAAAATCGGACAAAATAGTCTCCGCTTTTCCGGCTTGAGAGAGTCGATCCAAGATTAGCTCCCAAGCAGGGGGATTTGGGACAAAGATGTTCCAGCCACTCAAACTCTCTGCTAGCTCATAGTATCCACTTTAAAAAAAAAAAAAGATTTTTTTTTTTTTTTTTTACAGAGAGGAAGTGAGAGGGATAGAGAGTTGGAAACATCGATCAGCTGCCTCCTGCACGCCCCCCACTGGGGATGTGCCCCAACCAAGGTACATGCCCTTGACCGGAACCGAACCCGGGACCCTTCAGTCCGCAGGCCGACGCGGTATCCACTGAGTCAAACCGGTTACGGCAGTATCCACTTTTTAGTGGTCCTCCCGGCCCATCCTAAAACGGGACACATTCTATATGTGCGATCTGTCTGTCATCCAGGCGGGAATGTAGCTATACGCAGGAGGAGACTGCTTGAGGGCTAGAACATGCCGGGCCCAGTGTGGGCACTTAAAGTTGAGTGAATGGATGGAGTTCACGCCTGCAAGTGCGGGGCGTGTAGAATGATGATGAGCAGTAACACCTGAAAATTTAATTTTTTTATACTATAGTGATTACATATAGAGTGCTAAATCTTAAGTTATAGCTCAATTAAATTTTTATAGTTTTTCGAGATGAGTGCTTAGATATTTTTCATTTAGCCTCTTTTCTAATATATGCACTTAAGGACATAATTTGCTTTGAGAACTTTTTTTTTTTTAAAAAGTAGAGAGAGAGGAAGGGAGAGGGAGCGATAAGAAATATCAATGAGATGCCCAGCTGGGTATGGCTCAGTGGTTGAGCACTAACCTATGAACCATAAGGTCCGAGTTCGATTCCCTGTCAGTGAATATGCCCGGGTTGCAGACTCAATCCCCAGTGTGAAGCATGCAGGAGGCAGCAAATCAATGATTTCTTCTCATCATTGATGTTTCTCTCTCTCTCCCTCTCCATCTCTGAAATAAAGTATATATATAAAAAACAACCAAACTTCAATGAGAAACATCAAACTTGATCAGCTGTCTCCTACATCCTCCGTCCCCGCCGGGGATTGAGTCCCTAGCCTGAGCATGTGCCCTGAACAGATATTAAACCAGTGACCTCTTGGTGCATGGGTTGACTTGCAGCCACGCACAGGCTGGCCTTTAGAACCTCTTGAACTACACTCAAGTTTATGTCACATTCCCATTATCATTGTTTAAAATATTTACTAATTTGCTCTAGCTGGTTTGGCTCAGTGGATAGAGCAATGGCCTGTGGACTGAAGGGGCCCAGGTTCGATTCCAGTCAAGGGCACATCCCTGGGTTTCAGGCTCATCCCCAGTAGGGGGCGTGCAGGAGGCAGCCAATCAAAGATTCTCTCTCATCATTGAAGTTTCTCTCTCTCCTTCTCCCTTCCTCTCTGAAATCAATAAAAATATATTTTAAAAATAAAATATTTTCTAATTTGACCTGTGCATTATTTTAGTGGTGTAATGCTTCATTTTCAAATAGTCTATGACTGCCTAGTTATCTTGTTGTTGGGACTTGCCATGGCCTGATTAGCTGAGGCTTGGGGGGCATTATCCTTAAAAGGAGATCTTGCTTTTCGATGTAAGAACTTTATTTCCACATGGAGCTTGGGGTGGGGTCTGGTTGTGGGTACATGCAGGCGTTCCCATCCCCACACCTAGAGCTGCTGAGACGGCCTGAGAATGTACAGGAAGTGCGTCTTGCGGGCAGGCGGCTTGAAGTGGGGGGCGGCCTGGGTCCCTTTCTGCAGGGCTTCCTCTCGGGTCCCCTCGAGGAGCCCGTCCCGGATGGCCTGCAGGCGGTGTTCCTTCTCGCTGATAGCACGGTTGCCCTCTGGGACACTCTGATGAGACCTTCGCCGCGGTAGCTTCATAATCCAGAAGGCCACTCGGGGGTGGGGTTCTGGGTGGAAGCTGTCCATGGCCTTGGGGAGGGGCACCAGGGCCGCCTTCTCCTCTATCTTGGGTACCTGGGGAGGAGGGACAAGGAGATCAGTCTCAAACCGCATGACAAACTCCGGACTCCCAGACCTGCTGGCCTATTTAACTCAGTTTGCCACCTACAGGCCGCTTTGGGAGTTAAAAACTCTCCTAGCTGTTTACAAAGCACTTGGGTTTACAAACACTTTTGGATTCAAAAGACTTGGAAGTTTATAGACTACTTTGGGGTTGAAAACACACTTTGGAGGTCTCAAAAGCACTTTGGGGTTTAAAATGTCTGTTGGGATTACAGAACACTTTAGGATTAAACGTACTGTGAGGTTTGGAAAGCAGTCTGAAATGTGCAAAGCACTTTGGTATTAAAAGCTCTTGGCGTTACTCAAGAATCAGGGCTGCGGAAACCGGTTTGTCTCAGTGGATAGAGCGTCGGCCTGCGGACTGAAAGGTCCCAGGTTCGATTCCCGTCAAGGGCATGTACCTGGGTTGCGGGCACATCCCCAGTAGGAGATGTGCAGGAGGCAGCTGATCGATGTTTCTAACTCTCTATCTCTCTCCCTTCCTCTCTGTAAAAAATCAATAGAATATATTAAAAAAAAAAAAGAATCAGGGCCATAATTGCAATGCGTATGAGGAGTGTTGTTTTTTTATGTTATTAGCCAAGACTTTGACCGGAATGTCATGGTTGAGGGGGACACATGTAGACTCTGGTTGCTATCAGAAAAGCTTTAAGGAGTTAGGATTGACCTTGGAAGCTGATAAAAGCCCCATTTAAAAAAAAAACACCCAGCCTGGTACCTTGCTCATTTTATTTATACGGTTCATGCCCCATCTTTCCAGATAAGGAATGAAGGTCGCTTTCCTGGGAGATGGGAAATAAAGAACCTCAAGACATTTTGGGGGACCTCAAGTATCGAGGAATTCACACAAACATGCCGGCAAAGACTGATGGGACTGTATGGCTTGGCTTCTTCACCCTGAGAGGCTAATGGAAGCTCAATCTGGAGATTCCTCATGAAATCCCAGCAAAGCAGATTTTTAAAAGCCTATGCGATCAATTACTATTTATGCAAATAATCAGGCCAAATTGAAACTGGACTTAATAAATTGGTCTGAATTTGGTTCATTGATAAAAACGAGGAGCTGAAGCAGCTGCAGAAGAGACCCTATTCCCCTTTCCCTTAGAGAATTCAGAGTCAAGAATCATTGAGGGGGAATGTAGTAGGCAGTTAGGTAGGTGTGTGCAAGTAGGAATGATAAGCCACGTACAGGTCACCAGGCAGAAAGCCCCGGTGTGCCTAGCAAGGGACAAAACTGGGGAAACGAATATTGCAGAGTGGGACCTCACCCCAAGGTGACGTCTCCTCCCTTGCATATTGCTGGTCGTGTAGTTTGGACCCTCCCCTGCCCTTTATTTCCCTGGCAGGTCACTAGTCACGTGATGGACTCCCTTAAAGGAACAAGGGGGTTGGAGAATGGCCTCATGTGACTGCCATACAAGCCCTTGCACGACCACTCCCTTAAGCATGGAGCCCTCAGGACAATGAGGTTCTGGCCAGCATCAAATAATCTTCAGAACAAAGCCTCCGGTCTGTTGGCCACAGAGATAGTTGGGGTCAAACTAGAGATAACATCTAGGCCTCAGTTGCGTTTCAGCTTCAGGCCCAGAAAAACAGCTGCAATGCGTGGTCCTTGGTTGTGTCCTGGTCCAAAGTGAAATCAGCTCTTACTGACAGCTCTGGGTCCAGTGGAGACATTTGAATATGGACTGATGTCCGTTTGGGTTGTGGACCAGCATCGTCAGCACCTTCTGGGAGCTTGTTAGACATGCAAATTAGTGGGATCCACTCCACCCACTTAGACCTACTGAATCGGTCTGCATTTTAGTAAGTTGCGGTCTGAGGCTCGCCAGCGTGGCTTAGTGGTTGAGCACCGACCTATGAACCAGGAGGTCCTGGTTCCATTCCTGGTCAGGGCATATGCCTGGGTTGCAGGCTCAATCCCCATTGGAGGGGCATGAAGGAGGCAGCTGATCGACAATTCTCTCTCATCATTGCTGTTTCTCTCTCTCTCTCTCTCTCCCCCCCCACCTCTCTGAGATCAATAAAAAATATGTGAAAAAATAATAATCCATTGTTTTATGGTTCCGAAATTCAAAAGTGAAAACAGAGTAAAAGTGGTAAAATGTTAACAAGTGGTGAATCTAGGCCATTGGTTCTCAACTAAAGTCTGGAGACATTTTTGGTCGTCACAGCTGGTGTGGTGGGCGTGGTGTTTGTACACAGGATGGCCCCCTGCATGAATATCTCCACCCCCACACGAGGCTGAGAAACCCTGCTCTATGCTAAAAGGAGTGCAGATAGAATCATTGCACCACTTCCCCCTAACTCTTCTGTAGACTTGAACAATTTCAAAATAAAAACCTCTGTGTGTGTGTGAGAGAGAACTGTATGGGTTTGCCAAGCACTTGGAGGTCCTTAAAACATGTTAGGATTAAAAAAAAAAAAGTCTTTTGGGGTTAGAATCACTCAAAGGTTCACAAAGGTGATAGACACACAGCATTTCGGGATCATAAAGAACTTTGGAATGAAACAAAATCACATTTTGGCGTTTACGAGGGACAGATTTACCACTTTGGGATACATTGAGAAAATATGGAAAAGGTTTGCAGAGTGCTTTGAGATAAAGCCACACTTTGAGGTTTGGGAGGGTGAAGCTTACCAGGCATCTGGAATGAAAAGCACTTCCGGTTTACAAAACCCTCTAGAGTTTACTGAGTGGGGATGTGCTCTGAGGTTGTATATATCTCATTACCGAGAGCTGGTTAGTCCCTTTCAACCGATGACAAAACTTTTCGGGGGGTGGGGGTCTCTCCTAACCTTCCAGTCACTCTCCACGCTCCCATCTCCTGCCTCAATGGATGCCACCACCTTCTCGGAGATCAGCACCTCTCCTGTCTTGTTGTCGGTCACCTGTGAGGGTGGGAGGAGAGAAAGAGAGAGAGCGCGCAAAACTGCTTTCCTTCTCCGCCCTCCGCCCAGCAGATACGACAGCATGAGGGATCCAAGGCAGCCTCCAGGAGGGACTTCCCGGCCTAGGCACCTTGTCGATCTGGTGGTGGCTGGAGAGAGTGCTGTTCCCCAGCTGGCGCTCCTGGTTCTCTTCTTGGTGGTAGTTCGTAGGGAGGCCCCGCAAGTCCAAGGGGGCGGAGAAGAAACTGTCCATGCCCCGCAGCAGGTCATCCTGGGGCCAGAGGAGGGACAGGTGAGCTGTTGGGCCTCAGCACGCCCCAGTCCATCTGCAGCCCTGCCAGGATGCCCTCCAGGCCTGGCCATGTTCCTTTCACCCCCTTCCCTCTCCGTCTTCTGACCCTTAGGGGCTAACTAGTCACCTCCTGCCCCCATTCTCATTCTCTGCCCCATTGCCTTCCTATCTTTGCCCCTCATGCCCTACTGTCTCTTTTCTAGCCCACCCGTCAGTCTCTTTTCTGTCTCCCTCCCTCTTTCTATTTCTCCGTCTTCCTTTTGCTCTCTGTCCCTTCGACTCCCTCCCTTCCTTCTGCCTGGCCCTGACCTCATCCATCCCGGTCCCTCTTCTCTGGAACCCCTTCTCCCCACCCCCTGGCATCACTCACTTTCAGGAAAAGCCGGGTGAAACCTTGTAGCAGTCTCTGGAGGCCTAGGAAACCCGAGGAGCTTTCCTGGGCGTCGGTGTCACGGATCGGGGCTGCAGTGGAGGGGGGCACCAAGGCAGAGGGGAGCAGCAGCAGCAGGACCAGCGAGTGCCACATGGCTGGGCGGGGCGGGAGGCTGTGGCATCGGTAGGGGTCAGAGCCCCCACCCAAGACAATCATGCCTTTCCTATCCCTTGCCCAGGTTTTACCCCTTGTCCAAGCATTTCCCCCACACCCCCAAACCCACTTCCCCTCTCGCTTTTTCTTCTGCTCCCACCCCCTCCATCGTGTAAGGTCGCGCGCATCCTCCCAGGCCCGGCTCTTCTGGGCTTGGCTTCATACCCGGATCGCATCCCTCTCCTTCCCCCACATTCATACCCAGATCTCATGTCTCGCCTTCTCCTTCTCACCCTCTGGGCCTCGCCTTTACACTAGATCACGGTCCGGTCACTGGACTCTCAGACTCGGGCCGTCCACGGACTGTTAAATCCAAACAGTTCTGGTCTCGAGCCAAGTGGGACACCTGGAGCGTTGAATGAGCTCCGCGAGCCCTAGCCGCGCCCCGACGGCCTGGCCACGCCCCCACATGTGACCTCACCCACTAACCGGGGCCCCCTATTGGTTAGCCACGCCTGTATTCGTTGTTAGCCACGCCCCTCGAGCCAGTCGGCCGTTCGTTTCACGCTCACGCTCCGTCAGACCACGCCCCTTTCGGTTGACCTCGCCGTTGGCGACCGAGTCTGGCCAGTCCCGCTCCAACCGCAGGTGGCCACGCCCCTCACCCTAGAGCCACGCCCCCGCCCTGGGCCCCGCCTCTGTGCTGGGTCCAGCTCTTTCCCCCAGCACCCTCAGTTTCTTTCCTGGGGTCTCCCTCCGCCACGAGCCGTCCTCCTGGTTAGCCGCCACCCATTTTTGCACCTTCCTGGGCGTTTCTCCGTGTCGCTTCTCGTCTTCTCCAGCATTTGAAACGATGAATGCACTCCGACCCCTCTTCGGTCCCACAAACCCTCTCCAGAAACTCGAAATCCAGCCTTCTGTTCCAGTTTCCAAGAAACTCGGACTTTTTTCAAGAAACACATTTACGTTGCTGCTTAG